TTAAATTCGTGAAATTTTACGACCAATGTCCACTCGTGACGAACGTTCACGAGTGTTTTGGGTGACTTAAGTCCTATGCATGCACCGGCTATTAGTAAAACACGGAACACGGAGCACACGGAGCACTGAGCACATGCACGGAGCAGGAGCACGGAGCACACGGAGCACGGAGCACACGAACTACGGAGCAGTAGGAAAACGAAAATCCTTTTTAATAAAATACACTCTTTCACTATATTACAAATTTTTGTTCTTATTTTAATAAAGTTTTTTCGCGTTTTACACGTTGGGGAAGTAGAAAAATGGGGCTTTCACTGCACATATGATGCAAAACTGCCAAAAGCCATAGTATTTAAAATAGGATTGTGCCTGTGAAACTCGTTATCTTACACCTGTCAAGCTTATGTAGTTATATTATATTCCGATGGCCAACGCATTGAGAAACACTTAGAGAACAGCGGATATATTTTGTTACCCCTGCCAAAAAATAGCCAATTAAGTACTCATCTTTCAATGTAGCGGATCGACTGAACATTAAAGCTTGTCATGGAGAGAAGTGAATTTTCGGTTTATCCTTCGGCCCAGTGACCAGTGGGCAGTGTGCTGTACGGCCTACGTTTAAACCGTTATACAGTACATAATTACTGCTTTCATTCTTTCAATCCGTTTTGAATATTCGGAATCATTCACTATTATATTATAAAGCTTTATAATATAGCATTTGTATATTCTGAACGCTGATTGGCTAAGAGCCGTGTTGATATAACTCAATGTCAACACGGAAACGGCGGAAAATTTCTTTCTTTATATTTCTTTGTGCTATATTATAAAACAAATATAAAACATTTTTTCCGTATTGATATATAGTTTTATCAACACTCGTGATATATATATCAACACGGAAAATGTTTTATATTTGTTAAGTATAAGATAGCTGTAGAACTATAAATCTGTAGAATAAAATAAATAAAGAAAACTACGTTTTATCGCGGTATTTGCCGATAAATCGGTAATCGCTACAGAAAAACAGAACAAATTACAGTAAATCACAACAAACCGCGGAAGTGGGACAATATTTGTATTTTTACAGTAAGAGATGCAGAACAAGTACGAAATCCATACAGAAGTGTGTGCGTATTCTATACTTTTGAAACAACTAAATCAGACTTCGGAAAATTTGACAGTATTAAAGCTACTTTTGAGAATTTATATTTTAGGTCTTCGTTTTACATGTACCCAGTAAATATTTTTGAGTTTTCAATTTTGATTCTCACAAGCTTACAATTTGTTTACAATTTACTCTTCCTCTGGCTCTGCCGTGCTGCACGGCAGAGTTGATCGGAATTGTAACAAATACGCGTACACTTAATTGGCTTCCTGAATTTAGTCAATCAGATGCGTTATATTACTCGTTTCAATTTCATGTTTATGCTCGAAACTGCTCATGTTTACAATAGCAATTCCAACAATCTTGCCCTCCTTTTCGACTTTGAGGCGTTGGTGTTGATTTAGGCTATACGCAAAATTCAAAACTCAAAAATATTTACTGGTCTGGGTAAATATATACTTAATACAATTGTGCCTGAGTCGTCATGTTGAGCAGTCGTGTATTTCTTAGCTCCTCGATTTATTTCGTAATTTTGTTTAATGGTTTCTTTGAGTCTACAAAGTATCCTATCCCTATTATACATCGAACAGTGATCCTGCTACTCTTCGATATGAGTTTACGTATTGGCGAAGATCTATTCAATCATCTGGTGCTGTCGTAGTCGACCCGCTGAAAGTTCGATCAGGCCATTTTTATAATTTTGGCGTCTCCCGGCAAAAAGCATTTTTCGCTACAAGAATTGGATATTATTCGAACTCGGTATGTACTTTCCATCAGGCTCGATTGACAATTTGTGGCGGAGAAAACATATTCAATCTTTAGAAAAGATCGAGAAGGTCACCAAAGAGGCGGTGGTGTATTACTGGCTGTTAAAGCTGATATTCTTGCTTATAGACCGACTGACCTTGAACCGATTAATTCAGAGATATTGGTATGTGAGTTACTACCTAGCAATGGCTTTAAAATAACTTTTTGTGTATGTTATAGACCACCAGACTGTACGGAATTCATACATTACTTTGAAAATCTACTTAAAAGCTTGTATGAACTGAATTGTAGCCGAATTTGCATAGTTGGTGATTTTAATATGCCGGACGTTAACTGGGAGAACATCACAAGTAATTCCCCTATGGGAAGCGATTTTTGCGATCTTATCAATTCGCATTTCCTCACGCAAATGGTTCACGAACCAACAAGAATTTCCCACAACAGTCACTCTATATTGGATCTGGTGTTGTGCAATTACCCCGACGAAATAGCTGATATAAGGGTAGACAACGAGTTTACTTCTGACCACTTAGCTGTTTCGTTTGAGCTGTTGACAAAAGTAAAGCGTCTTAGGAAAATCCGTCGTACTGTTTACAATCTTAAAAATGCTGATTTGCTTGGACTAAAGTCAGCGTTGACTCGTATCCCTTGGGATACTGCGATTGTTGATGAAGACGTCGATTCAAGTATTGCCTGTTGGTATGGTATGTTTACGACTTGCATCGATGAATTTGTACCCAAAATAATTATCAAAGATGGTAATAGACCTCCGTGGATTGATCGTGAAGTGTTGCAGTTGATCAGAAAAAAACCCAGAATTAGACGTAAAGCTAAATCAAATGACTCCCCAATTATATGGGAACGATTTCGTAAATTGAGACATGAAGTTAAAAAACTGCTTAAATTTAAAAAGCGTAATTACTTAAGTAGTCTTAGTAATTCACTCCGGGATAATCCTCGTAGATTTTGGTCGTATCATAAAGCAATTACCAAGTCTAATAAAATCCCAGATGTCATTAGGCATGGTTCAATTGAAGCTCGTAATTTGATAGATAAGGCTAACTTGTTTAACGTATTTTTTCATTCAGTTTTTTCAGCATCGGATATTCCTAATGCTTTACCTGTAACTAATCTTGGTTACAATTCTGCTGAGGAAATATCTATGTTGAGAATAAGTATTGATTCGGTGGAGAGGCAGCTTAAATCCTTAAATATCACTAAAGCCTCGCTTGGAGTTCCCTCGAAATTGTTGCATGCGTGTGCGGAAGAGATCGCGCCATCATTGAGTAAGCTGTTTAATATGTCTCTTGAGCTTGGATCTTTTCCCGGAAAATGGAAAGATGCCAATATAGTTCCAATCCATAAGACCATGTCTAAAGCGATAGTTCCTAATTACAGAGGTATATCCCTTCTTGATGTCTTATCTAAACTACTGGAAAGGCAGGTGTATGATGGTGTATTTAATATTATTTCCCCACATTTTTCTCAATGGCAACATGGTTTCTTGCCTGGTAAGTCAATTGTATTGCAACTATCTCAAGTAGTTCATCAGTTTGTTAAGGCTCTTGAGAAGAGGCAACAAGTAGATGTAATATATCTCGATTTTTCCAAGGCATTCGACAAAGTTTCTCATTGTAAGCTACTATTTAAATCGGAATGCCTTGGTATAAGGGGATCTTTACTGGGTTGGTTCAGGTCCTACTTAACTAATAGAAGGCAAAGAGTTGTTATTAACAATATTTCATCTGACTTTCTTCCTGTAACTTCTGGGGTTCCCCAGGGGTCAATCCTAGGCCCCCTACTCTTCTTAATCTTTATTAACGATATGCCTAATGTAATATCAAAGGACACGTCTTTACCACTCTTTGCCGATGATTCAAAGTGTTTTCGCCTAATACTAGGTCAGAAGGATGGGGATGAATTACACGATGATTTAAATAAATTATTAACGTGGTCATACACCTGGGGAATGGGGTTTAATACTAGTAAATGTAAGGTCCTTAGAGTTGCTCGGATTAAATCTGTTTCTGAGAGAGACTATCACCTTGGAGGAATAAAGTTAGAACGAGTGGTTGTTGAAAAGGATCTTGGTGTTTTGATTAGACAGGATTCGAGGTGGGATGATCATGTTGATTTTATTATAATTATGGCCCAAAAAATGTTAAAACTCTTATATCGTACATGCAGATATTTTCGATGTTAAAACAAAAAAATTACAATATATAACCTGGGTTCGATATCGCCTTGAGTATGCTTCTGTTGTATGGTCACCTTATACCAAGAGGAATATATCAAGTTTAGAGAAAGTACAGAGGAGAGCCACTAGATTTATTATTGGCAGAGATTATGCTGAGTATGAACGTTTAAGTAAGTTGAATTTACTTCCTTTACAATATCGAAGAGAAATAAATGACATAATCTTCTTCTTCAAATGCTTCAAGAATATCTATGCAGTTGATATATTTGAGTATATTTCTTTTCGCTCCTGTTGCAAGTCACTTAGAAACATAGACCATTTAGCTCTTGCGATCCATTTTAGCAGGACCGAAGCTTTTAAGAACTCATACTTTGTACGTATTTGTCGTCTTTGGAATAACTTACCGCTTGTGATAAGAGAATCTAATAACTTAGTCACTTTTCGTAATAAGTTACTTCAATTTTATAAGGATAAATTTGCTGAAACCTGTTTGTTGTAATAATAATTAACTGGTATGTAAATAATAACTTTTAATAATCACTGAGTAAGGTGGAGCCGATTAGTAGTTAGGCTTCAAATATATTTGTACTTAGATTATGAGCATTCTTATATGTATTCTTATTGTAAGCTAATAGATTAACTCACATCAGGTGGTTTATGATAGGGAATCTTGAATTCTGTTTTAAGCTCACCTCAAATTACATTATAATTTTATAGTTTTCCTACTTTAATTTGATGTATATTTGGAAATTGATTAAAGTTTAAAGTTTAAAGTTTAAAGTACTTGGCTATTTTTTGGCAGGGGTAACGAAATATATCGGCTGTCAGTTTAAGTGTTTCCTCTGAAGTGTTTCTTTATGTGTTGGCGTTGCCGTTGGCATTAACAATATAATATAATATAGAGAGTAAATTATAAACATAACTACATAACTCATAAGCTTGATAGATGTAAGATAACGAGTTTCACAATCCTATTTTAAATACAACTATGGCTTTTGGCAGTTTTGCATATGTGTTTTTTTAAAAGCCCTATTTTCTTACTTCGCCAACGTGTAAAACGCGAAAAAACTTTATTAATAAGAACACAAATTTGTAATAGTAAACAGTGTATTTTATTATAAAGGATTTTCGTTTTTCTACTGCTCCGTACTCCGTGTGCTCCGTGCTCCGTGTTTTACTAACAGCCCTATGCACCTGGACAACGAAAATTCGTAGGCTACGACTCGCGCGATCATTAAATCCGTGAAATTTTACGGGCTGTGACGACTCGCGACGAATGTTTCACGAGTGGCGGATGACTAAGTCCTATGCAGGTCAAATGAACAAGGGCGAATAATGTTCTTGACCAATCAGAGCATTTGTTTATCTTTTGGCGCTAAGCCAATCAGAACGCGTACATTTCTACTACTTCCGGTTTAGACGCGTATTTCAACACGAAAATTAGGGTCATAAATAAAGCCTTGGAGGCGCCTGGTTTTTAATTTTTTAAGCTTATTTCAATGAAATCCTATAAAATTTAAAATTTTCGAAAAATTTGCCGCTGGGATTTGCGTTTAATCGCTTAGTTTTGAAATTATCCGCATTCAAAAAACGGCGTATGCAAGGTCACTCTCGAATAGGTCAAAAACGTGTTATGATTCTAAAGGAAGTGAAGCGAAGGCTTATATCCGGAAATATTTAAGAGCGGCTTGAGGGATTTGAGAAAAAAGACATTTTCACTGCTATTTTGGAGTTAAATTTTCTGGCAATTGGTCACTACACCACTATAATTTTGCCAGCAGTGGCATATAGCACTATAAATGTATAAAGTAGAAGAATCGCCGTTTCAATGAATGGCAATTTCTTTTCGAAATTTATGATTGCCTCTTTGGCCCAAGCTTTTGACTTGAGAGGATATTATTTGCAAAATGGGCAAGCACTGATGACTGGTACTTGGTAGTTTTCATACACTCGAGGTGGAAAGAGCGTCCACAGCCTCGAAAAATGCGACACAAAGAACTATCACGACTGCATTCGATCACTAATTTTTAGATCAGTCCATTCGATCTTATCACATTTGCTGTGTCAATGGAAATTGAAGGTAATAATATCAAACATATTATATATATTTCATGCTTTATGATTCATATACATTTTATAGGCTGTCAGTATATTAAAAGATTCATATTTTTTCGAGCACCAGATTGTCAGTCAACAGAGGGTTACTTATTTGTTTTAGTACGCAGTTTTCCCTATGTCTTTTATATAATTGTAGAAAATAGAAAGACCACAGTGTATATTTTTAGGATCATGGAATCAACAACTATTTACTAAAGCATATAAAACTCGTAATAGTGATGCAGTGTAATTATACTGAACTTACATTGTTGGATTAGGAAGTCTTTCAACTGATAAAAAGCCCAATGGAAGAACTTGGTTGGTGACAACCATGCTTCCAACGTTAACAAATTTGGTAGTTTCCACTTTCTTGTCTCCTTGTTTTGCCCATGCTCTTCTTGACAGTAACACAGCCTGACCAGGATTATCATGGAGAACTCCAATTGTTTGTGAGAAATTCAGCAGCCTTGACCTTTCAAATATTTAGAGATTGACTTATGTCATTGTCATCATGACAAGGCAATGTTAGTGGTTCTCTCTCATTTCATATATTGGCAAGAGAACAACCATCCCATGTTCCACACACTACATCAAGCATTGGTAGCTTTCAATAGGCACCCTATTGAAAATTTCAACCTGTTCTGTGGGCATGGACTAAGGGGCCAATTACATGGGGCATTTTCAACCCCGGAGTTGAACTCAACCCTGTTGACCAGGTTGAAATTTCAGCCCTGTCAGTAATACAAAACTCTATCACAATCAAACGCACAATTACATGACAAAATTGTCAAGCCAGGGCTGAGTTCAACCCCGGGGTTTCAACCCTGCTTCAGTTAGCAGGGACTCGGCCTTGAGTTCAAAATCTTGTCATGCAATCATTTCAAATTAAATCACGGCTGAAATTATTCATGAGTTGTTCAAGCATGCATGGAAGTGACTATTTATTACAAGAAAACAACATGGAGGCTATGGACCTGCTTTTTTTACTTCCGGAAATCAACGCCAGGACACGTACAGCATTTCAATCCCGGGGTTAAAATCGTCCATGTAATTGCAAAAAATTCAACCCAGTTAACAGGACTGAGTTCACCCCCGGGGTTGTGTAATATCACCCCCAAATGCCACAGAACAGGGCTGCAGAGAGGTTGCGCGCGACCCAGGGCAAGATTGTCCCAGGGGCCCCTATGAAGTCATAATTGTAAAATGGAAGAAGCGGTGTTTTACAATATATTACACTTTATTGCATACTATCCCGGCCTAATGAAGCTAGGATTTATATTCTTAGTTAAGCAATCTTGTATCTATAAATTTTAAGGGCCTTTGTTGCTTTGGGGCCCCTTTTGAGCTGGGGCCCCGGGGAAAAGTGCTCCCCCTTTCGGTGGCCCTGCCACTGACAATGCAGAGCAAGTTAGTCTAAAGGCGAATGATTGACACTTAATTGTAAACAAGAAATGCAATCATTCCAATCAATGTCTGTGCCACCTGTGCTAGCCAGAAGTCAATCTCTAATTTGAAGGTCAAGGTCGTTGAATTTCTTACCAAATTGGAATTCTCCAAGATAATCCTTCTCAGCTGGCTGTGTTGCTGTCAAGAGTGCATGGGCAAAACAAGGAGACAAGAAAGTGGAAACTACTAAATTTGTTTGGAAGCATGGTTTTCACCAACCGAGTTCTTCCATTGGGCTTTTCATCAGTGGAAAGATCTCCTAATCCAACAATGTAAGTTCAGTATAATTACACTGCATCACTATCACGAGTTTTATATGCTTTAGTAAATAGTTGTTGATTCCACGATCCTAAAAATATACACTGTGGTCTTTCTATTTTCTACAATTTAATATATAAAACACATAGGGAAAACTGCGTACTAAAGCAAATAAGTAAGCCTCTGTTGACTGACAATCTGGTGCTCGAAAAAATATGAATCTTTTAATACACTGACAGCCTATAAAATGTACATGAATCATAAAGCATGAAATATATAATATGTTTGATATTATTACCTTCAATTTACATTGACACAGCAAATGTGATAAGATCGAATGGACTGATCTAAAAATCAGTGATCAAGTGCAGTCGTGATAGACTGATAGTTCTTTGTGTCGCATTTTTCGAGGCTGCGGACATGCACTCTTTCCACCTCGAGTGTATTAAACCTACCAAGTACCAAACATCAGTACTTGCCCATTTTGCAAATAATATCCTCTCAAGTCAATTAAAAGCTTGGGCCAACGAGGCAATCA